CTCTTTTACACGCTGAAGTTTCGGATCTCTGTAAGCTTCGCAAAAGGGCGAAGTAACGCGGATTGAAAGCTATCCTTGCTGCCAGAGGAGCGAAAGTAGTATCGACTGTCAGGAAAGATAATAGAGAGTGTTAATTTCCGAATGCAGACGAAAAGTTTTATACACACAGCAAAGCTTAACAAATATTAAATAGCTGTAATCGAGTAATGATATTAAGTATATAATCAATAATGATCGTTCGTATTTTATACATGTTTTCTTGTGTATTTATTGTCATTATTGTTATTAAAAGTAAACTTTAATTTGTGCAAAAAAATATTTCGTTTCTATGAATCGATTCAAAGTTCGTAAAATTAAGCGTAATTATTAATTATTTCTTAAACAAGTTACATATAATTATTATTTTTTCCTTTTTTCGACTCATTCTATTCTCTTCAGCGAAAACCAGATTTTTTTCTCTCTTCTAAAACCAACACCTCATTAACATACTTACACCGCGTTAATTATGACTCTGTATTTACCAAAATATATGCATTCACTAGCATCGCGTTTTCACATACACAGTCCAAAAATCGCGAATGATATTTTTACATGGATTAAAACAAATGTAGAGAGAGAGAGAAAGAAAAAGTTAAAAAAATATATACCACAAAAATCGTGTCATATTAAACAATTATACTTTTTTAATGTCATCTCTCGTAATAGTGTTACTTTTTCTCGCATTTAAAAATTAAATGTTATAATAGTATACACAAAATTTCATCAACGAATAAATCGAAATAAATATACGTATCATTTTGTAACAATTCACACCAAGCGATAAATAAATTTCTCTATAATATCGGAAAAAATTATTATGAATTTTGTCATCTCTAAAAAATTCCCAAAAAATTTAACCTTAAAAAATTCTCTTTATAATTCAATTATTCCGATGAGAAACAGCAATCGGCTAGTTTGAATACGTCCGATTAATATTACTAATTACTTTAATCGGAGCTCGTTATCGGGGCGTTGACTCGTGTCAAGAAAATGATCTTTTCCGGTGTCGCGCCGCGGTGAATATTAATCGGCCGATTAAGAACCGCTTTAAATGGAGTCGTCCGTTAATTCAATTCCATGGATTTGCTTGCAAGAGTGCGGGGCTCTTTGAAAATTTTCCTTTCGCAATGCCACTTAAAAAGAAACAAGTAAAACAGTGAAACTAGCAACGATAACAATAATGTGATTTATTATTATATAGAGAGAAAAAGAGGAAGAAAGTAGGTCGATTAAGAATAATTTATTTCAACAAAAGTGCAAAAGTTCATCGAAATTACGAAGCGACGAGGCAAATAGATGAAGGTGATAAGAACGATTAAGAACGATTTATGTGCATTATCCTTATCTCGCCGGAATAGTGAATTGCGACAAGCGGATGATAGATTACGACTGCTTAAATGGCCAGTGTAATCATTGACTTGCCTGTCGCTATTCGTCCTGGATCGTCACTGCTCATCGAGATATGATGACTCGCGAATGTACACAGCACTCTGATTGCGCTGACTCATGTAAAAATACAAGGTATCTCGGAAATGTCGATGTATATCTGTAGCGAGTATATAATTTAATATTATCTTGGCAATAGATCAAATTCACACTCTTGTTCGAAAAGTCAATAGATGAAAAAGATGACTGTGACGCTGGTAATTTTTTTTAACTTTGTTTTATACACATTTATACATATAAAATAACTCCGGATACGCACAGAGTATCCAGTTGCGTCCCGAAATTCTAAAGCAACACGCCAGGATACGTCGGTATGTCTGTTCTGACAAATAGCTTCGCAAACAATGGGTGAATTTTGCCGGCGACATTCATAATTTATGCGAGAAGATGGGATGCCTAAGCCATTTTAGTACACGGCGAGAAACACAGTGAATAATTTAGTATCAATGAGTGATCGTCATTAAGTAATCATTAAGAAGTGGGAAGAAGAGAGATAATAATGAAGAACATTGGAATGAAACGTTTGTTATCGCATATGTAAGTTTAGAATAAACTGTTAGACGAAATAAAAGTTTTAGAAAAAAGCTATAAGGAAATGTGTGTTTGCTTCGATATTTCAAGAAATCTTGAACGACAAAAAATATTAGATTAAATAATAAAGAGGATGGAGAAGTTTCACGAACTTTTCTTCTCGGAAAAGTTACTCGTGTCACAAATCATCGGAAGTAATTTCGAAATACTAGAATGTCTCGCTTATTTGAAAAGTAAATGTTGAGTTGACATTGAGACCAATATAACGACGTACACAATCTCAACACGATAGCTTTTGCTTGCAAACAACGAAGGAAAAACTTGGACACAGGGGATGAAAATAATTTGAAGCAGAAATTTACAACTGGCCAGTATTGTAACTATTCCAGGGAGAGAACCGCAGAGGATGAGAGACAGCGTAAACTATTTATTACACCAAAACTATCTTCAAAGCTAAAGGATAAACGTAACACTGATAAAGATAACGAATACACAATCTATGCAATTTAATAAAAGTTCACTCAAGACATAGTTGTTGAAGAGAGTCGGATATTTAATTATATATATATATATATATATATATATATATATATATATATATATATATATATATTAAATAAATTATTATATTTAACCTTCAAGTCCGAGACTCAGATTTCGGATCGGATTTCTGGCGACTTCGAACGGCACAGAGCGGAATTTTTTAATATTTACGACTTATTTAAGATTAATTAAAAATTTATACGATAAAAAAGTTTTAATGATAGATGCGTTTTAAGAATAATCTAAAGTGAACGTGCCAAATATGGCATGTTAGGTACTAAAGGGTTAAAGATGAAGCAAGGTTTATAGCTAGCACAAACTATATTAGATAAGAGAAAGAAAGAGAAAAACAGAAAAACTCTGCGTTTTTTACATAAATATTTACACAACGCGAGCGTAAAGAATGTTCCAATCATTCAGAAAAATTTAATGTATTTATTATAGAAATTATTAATCCCTCAATTTATATCGATCCTTTGCACTAAAGTGATCAAGATACAAAAATTGTCGCGGTAGAATCGATTTGCTTGCAGATTGAATGCGCACAAAATGAAAAGCTAGTGATGTTTAAGCGAAACTAATATTAGAGCGATTGCAGCCGCGTAGTTAATAGAATGTCGGTTCCATCCCCCTCCTGGAAAATGAAGCGCAGCTAGAGCCAACAGTGGCGTCGATTGCGTCATCGAGATTGTTCAAACGAGAAATTGCTGTCGCGCATTCGCCAAATGCTCATTTGATCCTGAACGAATAATACCCTGAAATGAACAGTATCTTCAACAACACGAATTTACTTAAATTACCTTTTCTTAAAGCAATATCTAAAATAACCTAGAAATCTGTAAGATACAAGAATAGAAAAGTGTGTGGGAATCCTAAACGTTCTTGAGAAGTCTGTGGTTTCAGTCCTGTTTTATCGACAAAATGTGAGGTTAGATAAACTATAAATCTATTTATTGGCTATACGAATTGTGTTTTATCTAAAATTGGAACGCTTTGTCCTCTTTGTTAATATTAAGGGGATGCCGGAGCGACGGCCAAACTCCGATAGGTTAGCACCACACATATCTAAACATATACACATGATAGGTTAGCACCACATATATCTAAACATATGCATGTATACAACACATATGCGTGAAAATGTTTTTAATATATAACTTTTTATTAGACTTGCAATCTCACTTTTAATCGTTTACTAATAATTCTTCATATTATCCTTACCGCGTATATTATATTTCATGCACAGACAAACTTCAGAACTTTTTATTAAATAAGTATTGTTACGAACTGACACAAAAAGTCGATAACAAAACTGTAATTTTTTTATTTTTATATAATTTATATATGCAATTATAGCTAACGCGGTCCGTTTTTATAAATACTTTAATCGTGGAAAAGGATTTATTGATCAGTATAGTCAATAAAAAGTTATTTAAAAAAACCAAATATTCGCATTCGATCGGTAAAAACATACCTCCGGTACCCTCTTAATACTTTAATTTATACAGAAAAAAGATTGATCAATCTGTATATAGTTTCATATATGTATCTAGGTTACAGAATTCTTGAATATATATTAAAATATATTAAAATAGAGAAGAGATGATAAAAGTGTGTACATTTCTGCTATATCAGTTGTCCTTTTCGATAAGCCGCTCTTTGTACCGCAAAGAAAAATAATTTTATTTAAAGGGAAAATTAAAAAAAAGAAAGAATCGCGCGCGGAAACTGACGCGAGCTACCATCCGGATAAATATTTCACGCGACTCGCCGAAATCGAATTCGCAGGAAATTTCGCCGAGAGAGCCGACATTGAAGAGAGAAAGAGAGATCGACATCGAATGGCCGAAACGTCGATAGCTTTCGGCGACGTGACGTCGCCCGAAACGAATCAACGAGTTCTGATTTCTCTTCGCCCGAATTATACCGAGAGGATGCAATCAAAACCGGGGATCGCGACCCCTCTCCCTCCCCCTCCCCTTCCCGGAGGCTTCTTCATTATTCGCCGACATTGAAGCCGGGGATATAGCAGCCCTCTCCGCTCGTGTCGGCGCTGTTTGCGCAACAATCACGCTAACCGAATTATCCTGATCACATCGGGTGCGCATTCAAACACACGCGCCACCCTCCCGACCCTCTTCCCATTCTCTGTAATTGATTGGATTTTATTTGTACGATCCGACGCTGTGATACCGATAAAAAAATGAATGGGGTATAAGGCGTGCTCAACCTCTGACCTTTTGTCGAGGATGCTTTCAATAAGGGAGTTAGTGCTGCTTTCGACCGCGAGAAGTGACCATAAGGATGTATTTGTCTTGTCAGTGTCGAACGTCGGAGAACGAACGAAAGTGAACGAAAGTGAAAGACTTATCTTCGATTTAGTCTTATTTATCTTTCAAATATTTTAAATTTCTTCTCATTCAAAGATCTTTCAATTTTCAATCAGATTCTCGGAATCTTCAGATATGAAATACGGTCAGAGGAGAATAGGAAAGTTGACGAGAGTCGCGACTCTAGCTGACGCCAGAATCAAAGTGCGCGGAAAGAAGAGCCGGAGCAAGCAATTCGACACGATTTTGCAAGCTTTACGTTACTTTTGCACCCATACGACTCTTCACGGTCTTCGGTACGTCGTCGATCCCAATCTACATCCAATCGAGCGGTTTTTGTGGCTCGTACTGTTCATCGTATCCTCTGTGGTTGCCAGCAATGTCATTTATTCGCTGGCACTTCGATTCCAGGTAAAAATCATCTACAAAGGAGCGACGATAATTTGTATATGTATATATACGATCCTTCGAAGATTCGATGAGGACCATCAATTATATCAAAACAACAGTGTTGTGCTTAGATCATTTTAAAATTAGCTAGATAAAGATAAAAATATGTAAATTCATCTTAGATAAGATAAAGATGATTTTGTTTTAAATATATTTAGATATAAAATATAAAATTATATGGCGATTCATCTAGATAATTTTCTCGATAATAATTTTTAAAACTGCTTATATAAACATAGTTATTAACAAAAATGTAAATTATAAAAGGAATGTAAAAATATATGTATTCATATTTTTATTTATAAATTTTTATCACTTACTGCTGTTTAAGTTCTACTATTTAAGTATTATTTTTATGTGCTATGATTCTAAACCAAAATTATTTAAAAATTATTCTAGATAATTTTTAATATTCTAGATAATTATCTAAAAATTATTCTAGATAATTTAGTAAAGATAAGACTTTTTTCATCTAAGATACAGATTGCAGATATAGATAATACACATATTTTTATTATCTCTATTTATTATCTCTATAATACTTTTTTCATCTAAGATACAGATTGCAGATATAGATAATACATATATTTTTATTATCTCTATAAATATATACTATAAGATGAAGCCAAAGTTTCATCTAGTTTACATGATCATTATATAATTTTATTACAAACACTGCAAAACAAGAATAATACAATATTGGCTTTTATTAGACTTTATAGAGTATTGATGATACATACGTGTTGGGATAAATTACCATAAATTTGTGTAGGCCGCGCCAACAGCGATCAACATCGAATCGATGCACTACGAGAATTTCAATCTGCCCTTCCCAAGTGTGACCCTATGTCCGAACGATCGTGTAGATTGGAACCGGGCTCTCGAACTTGAAACGAAGATTTTTCCTAATAATACGGACAAGAAGAGTCTTGAGACTTTTCGAAAGATACTAGGCAAGCTTTCTATGATAAGCTTCGGGGATTTCGATGATTTGCACTTCTTGAAGCATCATAATGTGCGCAATCTCTCGGGTAGGATACACCGTTACCTCTTTTGCAAGCAAATTAGAATAGATTATATGTTCCTCTACTTTTCTGAATCGATCTTTAACGCTTTATTTGAGAACAAGGTAAAATATCATCTACCATAACCATTCTGTCAATAAACGGGTATCCAAAGCAATTTTAAAAGTGTTTTGAAACTTTTCTTCATCCAAAACGAAATACAAAGGACTTTTATATTCATAAATTTCTTAAGATTCCTGTATACTCACTACAGCCATCTTGGATTGATGACGTCAAAAGTGAAAAAAATTACATGAAAATTCTTGCGACTTACGTTAAAATAAAACTATTTCTCGATAAAATAGCATTTGAAATTGATAGAACAGACATGTAAAATATACCAAAAACTCTCCTTTTGTTTGAATAATCAATAAATAATATATATTTATATGTCGAATTGAATTGAACCTAATCAAGAGCGAAAACCAGCTGTTTGACAAGTATCGAAATGAAATAAATATTTGCTTTCACATATTAAACTATGTCAAAATGGGAGTCTTCGGTATATTTTAACATCGCGACAATTATTTTAAACATAAAAACACTACAGTAAAACGAAAATTAACGCTGTACGTTGCAAGAATAATTTAGCTTGCTATGCTTATTATTAATAAACAAAATTGTATTATTTATTAATCATATTATTTTCGTTTATTGTACATTTTTGTCGATAAAACAATATAGAGATTCTTATTTCTACTGTTTTGAATTAAGTCGCCACTGTCAACGCAGACTTGGCAATCGAGTATGCAGGAGCCTTAAAATATAACGCGAAAAAATATTCGATGTTCAATAGCTATAAAGAAATTGTCGCAATACAATGTGTCGAAAGGCACAATTGGTATCTGGGTACTTAAACATTATTGGAAAAGAAAAATGTATTGACAGAAGGGTTAATGTGTGTACAAATTTCGATAATGTTAAATTTAATCAGGATTTCTCGAGTTAAATGCGATTTACATTCTTCTCGCTTGTGATAATTAATCGTTAATATCGGACAGGCATCAACATAACTCAGGTATTGCACGAGGTGATGCCGGCCTGCAATCAATTACTGTCTACCTGCTGGTGGCGCAACGCCGATCGTAATTGTTGCGAGATCTTCGAGGTGCAGAAGACCGAGTACGGCTTCTGTTATTCGTTCAATTCGGAAATGGCGGTGACATCCCCGGCGGATCCCACGGAATCGCGACCACGAAGAGCATCTGGCTACGGCGAATGGAGCGGCGTCAAGGTTACGATTCATCTGGGAAACATAACGAAGCCGCCGGATTCTGGTAAGGATATTGGCAACGCCGAAACACCAACCGTGTAATATTCTACGTGTAGCGATACGAGGTACAAGCGATATGGATCGGAGAGAGCAAGTTATTTTGCAAAAAAATAAATAAAAAAAAATAAATAAATAAACAAAATAAAGAGTAAAAACATGTACGCGATCGTGTCAAATAAATTGCTCTGGAAATGTGGAACCACGGCCGATCGAGCGCTGATTCGCCTTCTAGTCACGCCCATGGGTATCGCCTTCGCGTTGTATCATGTTGAAAGATTCAAAGCTTGATCGACGCGAATCAAAGAAATCTTCGAAAAATTTACTTCGACAGGTTCACCTGGCTGCATCAGAAAATTGGAAATTTTTCTGATGTAATATGAAATGATAAGAGAAAATTTAGATCTAGTTCGCGTAGAGTAACTGTAAAAAAATATATAAATAGTTTACATGTTAAAAAAATGTAATTTACAACTAGTAGTTAGTAGCTACATATATTTTCTTAAAAACAACTATATGTTTTCTTTAAACCAATTGATTCCTTTCATTATTTTGTGCATAAGAATATTGAGGTAAAATCATGAATAATGAATATTTTAATGAAAAATTAATATTCTACGAGATATTTTATAGTTCATGTAAAATTATGTATAGGTAAAATTTATATAAATAAATTAAAATATAAAATATCTCTCGTAACTATTCAATTTTTTTACAATTCTATATATTTATTTAATTACATTATTATATTGATTACAATATTTATGCATTTTTGCAAATAAATTGTATGTGCGCATATATAATTTCAGTTTAGATCTTCATATATTGTTCATTATTGCATTTTCGCGACAAAGAGAAGTAAATGCATTATATGAATAAATATTTAGCATAAAAACAAGCTAGGGAGGAGAGACGCAAGAAGAAGGGGATACACACTCACACATATATTCAAGGTGTCCTACATAAAGTGTTTTCTCCGTCACTGCAAGAGATATTAACTTGATTTTTTAAATTAAATCAAATAAAGTAGCTAAAGATGGATAAAAAAATGTTGAAAACCTTCAAGGAACAAAAGGGGAATCTCTTTTTTTTTTTCAAATGACACTACTATAATTCTTTTATGTAAATCGATTGCTTGCAATATTTGGCATACAAAGTTATAAGAATACGATGATCAAAAAGTGAATTTACGAGATATTTTTTTGTACTTTAATGTAACATAATTTTACATAAAATATTTCGTAAAATATTCATTCTCCGATGATCTTGCCTCAATACTTTAATGCACAAATTAATGAGAAGAATCAATTGGTGTAAAGAAAACACAGTTATTTTTAAGAAAAAGTATGTAATTTGCAACTAGCAACTACATATTTTTGGATTAATAACTAATATTATTTTTACCGAGATCCGCTAAATGACAAAGTATACAGCAACGACGTATCGTTACTAATCCGCCGTTATGCAAACGCATCACAGAAAATCTCGCAAATATGATTTTAATATCCTGGCGAATACCTGTCATCGGACGCATTTTAAATAGAACGTTCTCCCGCGTTTCATCATAATGCCGCTTCTTTATTACTTCGCGCGTGAAATGGGGAACGGAATTTTTATCGTAAACTGCAAAATCGATGTATCGGCACGATGTTGCGAGGCAGTTATTGAAATGTCACCGCCAAAGGAATCTTTCAGTTCACGCTTGCCGTTTTGTCAATTAAACATTTTTCCCCTTTCCGTGAAAAATCGAAGCTCAAACCGGTGAAATTTAAGAATCTGTCGTGATTAGGATATATTTTGCGTTGCAGAGAATATTGGCGGTGTCGTAGTAATAATAAATGACCCGCGTGTCTGGCCCAACAGTGGCATTATGATACCGTCAGGTTCGCTGGTCAGCCTGTCCTTGGAATGTGTTTCCGGATACGCTACCCAGCGGGTTCTAGAGCTGGACCGCGATAGGCAGCCCTGTCTGTACGACGAGACAGGCGTGTACAATCAGGAGACCTGTCTGTCGCTTTGCAAACGCAATTACGTCATCAAGTATTGCGGCTGCAATCCATCCTTCCTGTTCCCAGCAAGTACCGATCTCTTTCGTATTTTTATAAATTGTCTATATATTTTTTCATAAATAATTCGTCCTCGACGAAAATTGTGATCTGTTTCAGCCGCACGTTATCGTGACTGCACCATCGAGGATTTTATCTGCCTGCTCGATTATAATGGTGAGAGTTTCTATCTTTTTCATTTTTTGTCTTGTATATATAAATGTATCTCTTAATTCTTCTGTCAATATATAATTTTTCATATTTCAATGTATGGATACCCAGCAGTATGATATTTTCGATACATTGCATTGTGATAACTTCTTTATAGCAGCGAGATCGAAAATTCTTTCTCGTTATATTTTAGGAGTATATTTCAGTTACAAAGACCTGAATATAAAATATGAAGGTTCTTTATATTTTGTTTTTAATATTCAAAGTTGCTTTGGAAACCTGGGTACCTGTTCATTGATAAAAGAGTTAAATATAAGATTAAATGCAACATTTACTCCTTTCATATATGCGATACAAGATCTATTCAACGATTACATCGTTTACTTCGGTGGCAAGATCCCGCACAGCATTACTAGCATGATTTGCAAATGTTCGCCGGAATGCGATTACTATATGTACGGCACCCAGTTTTCTAATGTGCCGCTACATGATAATATGAACGACATTACACTGGACGTGCATTACATAGGGCAAACTAGTTTCCGCTACAAAACGGACATAGTCATCACACAAATGGACCTCCTCGGTAAATCCCTCTCATTCTCTCACTGCACCTTTTTTACAGATATATTTTTTGCACGTATTACATTCTTCTTCTGCCAAATGTTTTCCTCGTATATTATAAGTAGAAAATGCTAAAAGATAAACTCTAAACATTAATTTTTCCAACAATGTTCTTTCTTACTTTAAAAAAAAATCAAATTCGGGTTTAAGAAATTTATAGAGACGAAATGGTAAAAGAAATACATGGAAAAAATATTTGTGAGAAATGCTTTATTCAAGCTCGCTCTTCTAGATTTGTGGAGAACTTTAATTTGTGGCGTCTTAATTATTTCCCTATTTCTATTAGCCGTTCCGCGGCGGTTTGCCCGCGAGATACCAAGTTAAGAATTCATAGCGCTTCCATTCCTTCTTACTCAAAATGTTTACGCCTCTTGTTTACGACTATCTTGCTGCATAATTCGCCATTTTATTGCGGGAGATAGGAAAATTGAGAGAAGAAATCATGTGAATTAATATCGCGGAAATTAAAGTCAATATTGCGCCTAACCTAACCTAATCCTAACCAAATCGTGTCGATGCTGATCTGAACCTACCGTATTGTATATCTCTCTCATCATCATCGAATGTTTTTGCACGATCACCATATTAATAACTTGGTCCCGATTTGCATATCTCCTTGTAGTATCTTTCGGCGGCATAATCGGCTTATTTCTGGGCGGCTCATTGCTGAGCGCCGTCGAACTCGTCTATTACCTGATAGGGGCGCTGCTCTCGTTTCTGCCTTCGCGACGAAAGGCCGAGAGAGCAAAGATGCGGCCGGAAACGACGCGGTCGAAGGCGACGATTGCACGCAGCACAATAGGATCGGTGCTACCCATTCTGGATTACAGCCCTCTGAAACAACGGGCGAGGAGGATTCCGATTTTCGCGAATTACGACCTCACGGAATCGAATTTGAACAGATATTAAATTACAGAGGCTGAAGATAACGCCCTCTCGTGAGTCTTTTGATATCGCGTAGAGGAGGGAGAGCCTCTCTATTATGGTCAAGCCACGTTGAGAAATTTGAGAAGGTAAAATAAGAGAGGTTCATCTCCCAAATCGATATTTGTACGTTAAAATGCGAATGCGTGCGATTTCTGTTATGCAATTCTATTCTCTTCTACAAATCGAAGGACAAAAATTTTACAAACTAGATATTCGCTAAACGCCGCGCCAATCGGGAGTACTGTCTGCTAGAATAAACGAGTCCCGTTTTCCATGGACATGTCGGTTATTGTGTTTTACTCTCTGTCCCCATAAATCAGAAAGTAGCCGCGATATCGATCAGATTTGACAGGGAAATCGAGAATGCCTCGCACGCGAAATCTGGTATCTACCTCCTCCTAGACATCCTTATTCATGTGCGCGTGCATGCAGACGTTTGTATTTGCGCGCGTGTATGCAGGCAACTCGTATTTTATTCAACGTTATATATGATACGTACCTTCCATCTTGCCATTTTGCGGCCGCGTAACGCTTGACTTCAATAATACACGCCATACATTTTACATGCGTCTCGAGCGACTTCGTTGGCTTTCTTGAAGACTGGCAAGTCGAACAATTGTGCAATTTGTACATTTTTTTCGTTGTATCTTTGAAAAAAAATGTCATGAGTAATTTTAAAGAAAAGTTTTATATGTAGCAAACAAATATTTTTAAAAGAAAAGACAATTGAGTGAGACAGAGATTTGCTTTATTCGATGCGTAGAACATTATGGCCTAGTTTACATCGAGCACTTGATACGCGTATCAAATAGTAATAATAGTAATAATTAGTAAATTGGTTTAGTCATTGGCTGATCAGCTCTAATGTACTATTTGATACGCGTATTAAGTGCTCGATGTAAACTAGACCTATATCTTACAATCGCGATTACATTTGATTGTATAAGATGTAATAATATTTCAGATACATGATATAAGATATATAAATAAATTACTGAGATTGGATTTTTATTATCGCCAGTAAAAAAATTAAAAGAACACATATTTCTCGACCAATACTGGCAGTTATTTATTTAAATCTCACAACGTTTCAACCATAATTTTGGTCCTTTTTACGTGTACTGTTAGAATATTAAAAAAGAGAGAAAAAAGACCATATTGTTGTGTCGATATGACGCCTCGTCACTTGTGCTTATATTAAACTGACATATATAAATAAGATGACTTTGTAATCTTTATATATAAATAACTCAATTTATTGTAATTGAAATGAAATTCTATTGTGAAAGATTAAAATAATTTTCCTCAACAATTGCTAACTCACAGTAAACCATTACAATTACCGTTATAAATGTACATTTTGAAGGCTACATATTAGAGAAACATAAATTAATCAAACATTTAATTATATTTTACAATGTAATATCGGGAATAACAGAAATAATATATTAGATATTAAATTAATTTGTAATTAAATATTGTGTGTGTGTGTGTGCATGATTACTCATGAAAGATATAAATAAAATTAAAATGTACCTACATGACAAATGAATGAAACTTATGTAAAATAAACATCGAATTATATGTATTTCGAAAAGAACAATTTTAAATTCAAGAGAGGGAGACCAAATTCAATTTCAAATAAAAGATTTTTTGAATAAAAAAGAACGAAATGAGATTGGGACATCCTGTACGTGCGCTAGTTATCGTCATTTCGCGCCACAAAAGTGGCCGTGTCGACAAAATGCAAGCGGACAATTGCAGCATTTTAGATGAACGCTGAAATGTATGAATAACGGGAATAAATCGCGCGTGGCCGCGCATTTGGTGCACTCGGCAAAATTGTACTGATCACGATTCATACTATTTATGCGAGAGAATGCTTGAGCGCAAATAATACATAAGGACTCTCTCGTACGCGGCATTCGTCTTGCATTTAACACGTTTGCGGCGCAACATTATATTATACTATCCCTCATTGATATGTAAATTGTAACTAGCCAGCTACATATTTTTCTTAAGAACAACTATATATATATATATTTATATTGTAGGTGGTGTCAGGATAGTTTTAGATGATGTCAGGGCGTAATTCTAATAAGGCTTCTAGTGGATCTTAACAAAGGATCTTTATTAGGTTAAACTGTACTCGATAGAACACGCACGATGCTCACACTCTGCGGGAACTGACCTCTTAACCTTCTCCCTTCTTTCTTACGCAGCGTCGCCGGTAGAGGGGGGGAGAGGAAACGTAATTCGCCGCTCACGCGTGTATATAAATGAATATCGGTAGAATAATAATTCGCCTACAGTCGGCCAGCCTGACATTACGACCGTCTCGGTCGTACGTATAGGAACAAAACGTATTAAGTAAATATAGCACTTTACTTTCTCTCTCATTTGTGGGAACCAGTAAATTTGCCTAATGTTAGCAATAACTTTATCGAGGCCGACATGGCCAATGTCATCATGACACGTACGGATTACATTACTTTCCATTGATATCGGTACATAAAATAAGAGTTTTTACCCTTATCTTTACGGTAAACAAGACCGTCTCGCAATTCAAAGAATTTATCCTCAGATTTTTCTAATTTATTTCGAATGTTTACTATATTTACATCCCGATCTTGTTGAATAGATAAAGTTCGGTCGAACGAATTTGCTTCTAATGTCAGAATGCTATGACATCGACTCAACGCGTCGACATGATTCATCTGTGTACCGGGTCGATGTACGATTTGATAACAGTATTGCTCTAAAAATAATGCCCAACGATATATTCGCGGATTAACTGTCTGTTTACTTAAGTCGAGACTACTAAAATATTTTTTTCCTTTTAACCGATCAATATGATCATCTATCAACGGTGTGGGAAAATTGTCTTTTACAGTAATCTTATTTATTTCACGGAAGTCGACACACAGTCGTGACTCGCCATTTTTCTTCTGCACGAGAACGATTGGGCTAGCGTAGGGTGAATTACTCTGCCTAATTGTACCTGTTTTCAATAAGTCGTCTAATATTACTTGCAACTTTTCTTTATCGGCATACGTTAAACGCCTAGGCCGGAAGGTAATCGGCTGTTCATTTTTTAATAAAATTTTCATCTCGGTTTCCGGTTCGCTCGCATCCGAATCCCATTTATCAACGTATTCTTTGTTATACAATCTTCGAACGCTTTCGACTACATGCGATTCGACACCGGGATTAATATTCAATTCTTCTCCAACTTTTACAGGATTTTCGAGATATTCTATTTGCATAATCTCGGTATCAAAATTGTTCTCGCTTGTCGACTCGTTTCTCCTAGTAATCTTTACCGTTTTACCTAGTTCGATTTTTATTAACGGATCTCGACAAAAATCGCGACCAAGTAATGCCGCACACGACATTGTTTCGTTCGGTACTACCAGAAAACGTAGCTGAATATTAATTTTTTCGATTTCGACTAATTTCGAAAAGGTGCCTATTACGCGAACAGGGGATTTATTTACTCCACAGAAACAATCGCCGTTAGGAGGTAGCGGTTCGCGCAAACTCGTCGGAACATACTCAGTTTTTATGAGGCTCACTGGGGAGCCGGGATCAACTATCGCGTCTACTGTATATTCACGATCCATATCCCCTTCAAAGGACACCGAAAACTTTAACTGTACACAATACGGATCGCTAACGGGTATCGGTTCGATCAAGTTCACAACGTTCGTCGACTCGGGTTTCGACTCTTTCTCGGGACAGTCTTTTTTCAAGTGGCTGGCTGAACCACATCGATGACAGCCTCCCTTAACTTTCTTCGGGTGTGAACATGCGGATGCCAGATGTCCAACTCCCTGGCAGTTATAACATTTAATTATCTTTCGGCGTGGTGCCAAATCTGCACTCGACGATGCTGGATTTCCTTTAAACGCTGAACTCTCCTTCATCGACAATTTCCCATCCTTTTGGATTTTTCCTTGATCAATAGGTTTCTTCCATTCGCGATCAGGGAACTTCTTCGGGTGTAGCGTCAATCCTTTAAATGCCTCCAATAAATCCGACTGAGACTCGAACTGCATAATACGTGCTTGATCTCTGAGATTGCGATCAGGTATACCCTCGATGACATAATCGACAACTTCGTCATCTACTATCGGTACCCTATTAGCGAGGATTATTTTATCATGGAAGTAACTCGTGAATGATTCGTCCGTCCGCCATGCTCTCTCTTCGAGCTTCTTGCGTAGGGACAATCTTGATTGACGAAGGTCGAACATTCCCTTCATGGCCGCCAATAGATTTTCTATACTAAGGGTAAGATGATGTGGTTTGGAGTGAAACCACTCGGATGCACGTCCTTTTAATTTAGAGCTTATTAAAATTCTTGTCGCCGCATCATCCAAGGCGTACGACACTCGCAGCAATTGTACCTGCTGTTCCCATTTCCAGAACGTACCCTCACTGCCGTCGAATTCGCTCAACAAGTCGCGAATAGCCCTTACACTTTCGCTCATCGGTGGACCATTACGTCTTCTTCCGCCATCATTCATCTGCGGTGCTCCATGATCTTCGATGTTCTCTCGTCTAACGATATCTAATTCACGTTGAAGAAGAGCTCGTTCTCTTCTAAGTAGTTCATTTTCTCGTCGAATCAAGTCATTCTCAGTCAAAGGACCTTCAACGGATGCGTCGTTACTTACTTGGCTTTCATTGTCCTTGCCCGCGACGGCATCCCTCGATTCATGGCCCGCGTCAATCGGCTGATCGACACCGCGGCTCTGCCGTGACCTCTGTTCATCCAGTGTGGTCCATATCTCCGGGTCATTGGCAGTCAATCGATCTATCAGGTCAGCTTTGTTACCGGTCGCCGGCAACTTCTTCTCGCGGAGAATGTCCTTAATCTCGGCAAGCGTATACGCACTCGGCGGTCTCGCCATTGTTAGTGACACACTGCACTTCCCTTTTCTATACGTCCTAGCACACAGCGACGTGTTAATAAATGTTTAACCTCAGTCAAAATGTTCGCGACACACGTCGGCACAATTAGCACACAGCAAAGATTCGCGGTACACAGCGCGAATTACCGTCAAAATATTCGCGACACACAGCGCGGAATATTCTGTCTTTCAGTACGCAGCAAAGATTCGCGGCACACAGCGCGAATAACCGTCAAAATATTCGCGACACACAGCGCGGAATATTCGGTCTTTCAGCACGCAGCAAAGATTCGCGGCACACAGCGCGAATTACCGTCAAAATATTCGCGACACACAGCGCGGAATATTCTATCTCACAAGGATATCGCGTTACACGTCGATTCACCGCGCGCGATACGTGGACTCGCTTCCTCTCGTACGCGGCGGAACAATTAGCACGCAGCAAAGATTCGCGGCACACAGCGCGAATTACCGTCAAAA